TAACAACAGTGGCAAGAAATGTCATAACATTAGCAAAAAAATTCACTTAGCAGCTCTCTTTTTGCTTAGGCTAAGAAATTTTAGACTCACTTGTGGTCATAAATTGAGGACTAACTCTATAGCAGAATAAATATACCAGAGTCTTTAAAAAAGTAACAGAAAATAAATGTTCCCAGCAGTTCCCTATGAGGCCCCAGTGAGAGGCAATTGAAACGGGCTTGTAAGAAACGCAGTTGTACAACCATCCATTCTTCCCTAATCCGTGCAATTTTCTACAATAGGCCACACGTTTTCTGGAAGAGCCACTTCCCTTGTTTGCTATGTTCGCTAACTTCTCCATCAGCGGCCGCATACCAATTTAAGAAGCCGAGGAGGTTATTCCTCTCCGTTTACTGGCATATTAGAAAATGAAAAATCACTCTACGATTTCTTTTTGCTTGCTCAAAATTGCTCTTTGTCAGACGTAATAGGCAGCAGCAGCATGCCACACAAGACATTGTGGTGCATCAGTGACAGAGTATTATATGGTGTGGGCCAGACAACATGCTCAATCTAAGTATGAAATGGCAGAGGTTGAAGCTTCAAATAACTCGGTAAGGGTTCTGAAGAATGCCCGTTGCATCTCACGCTAACTAAAATTGCTGACGGCGTCCGAGACAGTTCCAGGGGGCCAGAAAGGCAGCCACTGTTTCCCGACAAAAGAGGGTCTCAGAGTTTTTGAGTCTCCTCGGCTGATGTCATCGAGAGCCTGAAATATCACTGCTGAGTTTGCAAGCAGCCGTGTTATTTCTCTGCCCTATAGTATTGATAAAGGAAGTCATGCGAAGCTGTGTCATGCAACCATTTCCCGAAATGGGGAAACTGCGCTGGGATGATGCTTCATAAAGTCGAGGGAGGGAGGTGGGCGTTTACAATGTTATAAGGCGAAAGAAAAATTAAACTTTTGTCTGCATTGATTTGGCTCTAATAAAGGAGAATATTTGTAGCTCAGGGTCGAAATGAGGTGCTCTCTGAGCTTGCTTGTTTTCTGGCAGATGTTTCATTACCCAAACTAGATAACATCATCCAGTGGTGGGATTCAAATAATTTAACAACTGGTTCTCTTCCCTAATGATCGGTTGGGTAGGCGTGGCTCGGTCATGTGACCGGGTAGGCGTGGCCAACTCAATGTCACTTGCATCGATGGGCGCTTCGCCTTAGCTGTTACAATGTAATAAGGGTTAACCGGAGAGGCAGTTTCTGCAAGCAGGGCAATAAAGATTAGGCTAGAAATAACACCAGAATGTTTCCTTCCTGCCTTCCTTACAGGATTAGCCCTGTAAAGTGGGGAAAAAAACAAAATGAGATTTCTTCCAACAACCAGTTCTCCAAACTGCTTAGAAAGTTAACAACCGGTTTTCCCAAATAGGTGCGAACTGGCTGAATCCCACCAGTGACATCATCCGTACTGATCAGAAACATCAAACCTGGTAACATCATCCGTGCATCATCAGCACGGATGAAGTTTCCTAGTTTGGACAATGAAACATCTGCAACCAAACTCAAGAGAGCACCAAGGACCCCTAATTTTAAGACTTGTGGACTTCAACTCCCAGAATTCCCCAGCCAACAAGCAGAGGGCATCAAGGACCTCTGATTTGGGTCCTCAACAACATTTCCATCATCTTTGGTTCAAGGCTTCACTTCTGTTTGTTTGCAACTATGGTACAAACATGCCTTGCTAATATATACTGTATATATATTCATTTCCTGACTTGCTGGCTGAACCAACAGCAGCCACAATATATCTACTTGCTTGTCCCACCATGAGTGAGACTAGCTTAAGCGATTGTTAGTGACATCACCGTTGAAATAATATTTTCCTCCTTACTCGGCCACCACCCACGAGCTGTGATCTCTCTCTTATTTTGGAAAAAAAAAAGTCTTGGAGTGCAACGACTGTAAACAGAAGCAATAGGATAGGATCAGGCTTAGCTTGAGGCTGGTGTAGATTTTGACCAGCCTGAGAATAAACTGAGAGCAGTTCAACCTGGCAATTGAGATGGATTTGGAGATGAGTCTTGAATTGGTTTGAGACTCTATAGCAGGGATGTGCAACCTTGGCAACTTTAAGACCTGTGAACTTCCCCAGCTGGGGAATTCTGGGAGTTGAAGTCCACAGGTCTTAAAGTTGTCAAGGTTGGGCACCCCAGCTCTATAGCAACAGATTTTGTACCTGGGCACTATTTTATGCCTTAAGGCTGCTGCGTAGATGGCAGGACATCTGCAGTCTTGGAGAAAGCAATATCATGCCTATCATCTGCCAAATATATTTTTTTTTATATATTTTATTTTTAAAACTTGTCAAACTGGTTTGAAACAGATATAAGGCTCATCATTCTTGGCAAAGGAGAACGTCAAGGTTTTGTATGTGGGCAGGTGTGCGGTTTTTCTTCCCCAGCGGTATTCAACACGTCATAACATTAAAACAACACAGCTGGGAAACACAATGGTTTAGTGCTGGCTCCATGCCTTGCTTGGCACGTAAACATATTTTTAATAGTATGAACATGGTTGGCATGGGTTGATACTAGAAATTAACAAGATGTCCATAAACAAGTTTCCTCAACTCTTATGAGTGAAATTGACTAAGTATGTTAAAGGACAGAAACTGTACGAATCTTCAGCTTTGGACATCTTCATACGGTGCCAAGTCACAGTTTGCTTAATTGTGATTTAATAACTTGTTGGCACGGCCCATACCACATGCCATGTCATCAAATCATAATTTACCAACTACATTGGCTGGATTGATGTAAAGTGATGATATTATCCATTCAGTCATGTCTGGCTCTTGGCAATTCTATGAAGCCTAAATTTAACCATAATTTACATTCTGGTTCATGCCGTGGGCAAAGTTATAAGCCATGGCGGATGGGTCACGTTCATGCCACATATAGGAAGGCAAGGCAGCATTTGAACCCAGGGTGCTGAATGAACTCAACTGCATAATAGGCAGGGGTGAAATGCTCCCGGTTCGGACCGGATCGCCTGATCCAGTAGCGATGGCAGTGGATGGTTCGGAGAACTGGTAGCAAAAATCCCTGCCCACCCCTTGCCCAGCTGAGCCGTGCGATCATCAGTGGTTTTTTTTTTTTTCTTATAAGAATTTTTTTTACAACCTCTTAAAGTTGTAGAAAAAATGCTTTTAAAAGTAAAAAAAAAAAAAAAGTTGGCCGTGCCCACCCAGTCACATTACCCCCACCCCACCTAGCCACGCCCACAGAACCGGTAGTAACAAATTTTACATTTCACCACTGATAATAGGGGATCCAGACCCCAGAAAAGTGGGTCAATTAAATAACCCTAGCCCAATCGGGTATCTTACTAGTTTTTCAGGGACGGAGGAGGTTGAGGGTGGCCAAATTTCTGTTTTCACAATAAACCTGCCAAGGGGGTCACTGATGCCTCCCAGACTCTCTCGAATTTGACCTGGAGAAGGAAGCATCTGCAACCTGGCGCTCTTCCAGCTGGGCTTATGTTCGTGCTCTCAGAAACCTCCCTCTAGCTGGGAGTTGCTCATCCGAAGGGCGCCAGGTTGGAAAAGGCTCAGTTGGATGCAGGCCGCAGAGGGAGCCAGTGCTGGAGAAACGACTTCCTTACTAATAAAGGAGAATATCTGTAGCTCAGGGTTGACATGAGGGGTCCTTGGTGCTCTCTGAGCTTGCTTGTTTTCTTGCAGACCTCTCATTGCCCAAACTAGGTAACATCAGTGTTAGAAGGGAGGAGGAGGAGGAGGAGGAGGAGGAGGAGGAGGAAGAAGATGACTATAGAGTCCTTGGTGCTCTCTTAAGTTTGCTAGTTTTCTTACAGACATTTCATGAGCCACCCTAGGTGACATAATTAGTGCCAGAAAGAAGGGAGGTTTGTTTGTGGGGAGGGAGGAAGGAAGGGAGGGAGGAAGGGAGGGAGGAAGGAAGGAAGGAAGGAAGGAAGGAAGGAAGGAAGGAAGGAAGGAAGGAAGGAAGGAAGGAAGGACAACCGTGAGGTCCTTGCTGCTCTCCCAGCTCAGCTTGTTTTCTTGCAGACCTCCCCTGACCCAAACTCGGTAACCTCATGAGGACCCAGTTTGTTGGGGACAAATAGGCTGCCTTTGTAAACCGCTTCGAGAAGGCTGTAAAGCGGTATGTAAGTCTAAGTGCTGTTGCTATTGCTGTCATTAGCGCTACTACTAGTACTTGTCCGAGGATGCTTAGTCTGGCGACGTGAAGCATCCTCAGACAAGCAGTGATGATATTAAGCTAGTTTGGGGGTGGGGGGTGTCACGAAATGCCTGGCTGAAAACAAGCAAGCTCGGAGAGCACCAAGGACCCCCCCAATCCCTTCCAACCCCTTCCTTTTCCCAAGCAGCCCCCCACCCTTTGCTAGGGAATGGGGAGGGTCTCCAAGGACCCCCCATCCCTTCTTTTTCCCGAGCAGCCCCCCACCCTTTGCTAGGGAATATGGGGTCTCCAAGGACCCCCCCATCCCTTCCTTTTCCCGAGCAGCCCCCCACCCTTTGCTAGGGAATGGGGAGGGTCTCCAAGGACCCCCCCATCCCTTCCTTTTCCCGAGCAGCCCCCCACCCTTTGCTAGGGAATGGGGAGGGTCTCCAAGGACCCCCCCAATCCCTTCCAACCCCTTCCTTTTCCCAAGCAGCCCCCCATCCTTTGCTAGGGAATGGGGGGTCGCCAAGGACCCCCCATCCCTTCCTTTTCCCAAGCAGCCCCCCACCCTTTGCTAGGGAATGGGGGGGGTCTCTCATTCAGCAACAGCAACGGACCCGCAGCAACAACTTCTTGTGCTTTGGCGCAAAGTTGCCGAGGGTTGGGAGGGGCGCCCCAAGCGGCGGCGTTTCGAACCCAGGACTTTCTTCCCTCCCTCCCCCTCTCCCCCCCCTCCCTCCCTCCCAGTTACACCCCCTGGGCTCCGCCTTTTGCCTTCGCCTTTGCCCTGCCTTGGCTTCTGCCTTTGCGCCGGCTTCGCGGCTTAACTCAACGCGGGGTGGGAAGAGCGAGCGCGCCTGCCGTGCGGAGAGATGGAGCCGCCCCGAGGCGCGTGAAACTGGCAGCAGCGGCGGCGGCGCTTCTTCCTTTCATTTTCGGCGTGCCGGGCAAAGAAAAGCCGACGCCCGTCGGATTCCTCGGCCTTTTCGGCCCGGCCAAGTGGGGAGCGGGTGGGGGCGAAGAGGAGAAGCCTGGTCGGCTGGCTGGCTGGCTCCTTCCACTCCTCCCGACCATGGAAGATGTGAGTAATGCGGAGTTTGTTTGCGAGGCATGTTTTTTTTTTGTTTTTTGTTTTAAAGTTTTTTTTTTTTTTAAAAAAAGTTAAGTTTCCAGTCCTGTAGGATAGTGCGCGGCTTGGCTTGCTTTAAAGAGGAGGATGGGGGGGGGGTGTCCCCAAATCCGGGAGCCCTCCCCTTCCCCCCCTTTCCTCTCCAGCCTTTTTTAAAAAAATATATTATTATTTTAAACTTTGTTTTTGCTCCCCCAAGTTAAACTTGGGTGAGTTTCAAGCCGAGCGGTGGGGAGGAGGAGAGGCGCTTAAGTTTTGTGTTGTGTTTCTGTGCGGGCGTATGTGTGTTTGGAAGAGTTGATGGAGAGGGAGGATGGAGGCCCTTGCTGGGTGTTGGGGGAGTGGGAGTGGGAGTGGGAGGGAGGAAAGAGAAGCGAAATGTAGGCCTTTTCTGCCTGCCTGCCAAGATTTCAGCTGACACGAAGCGGGAGGGAACTAGAAAGAAAGAAAGGAAGAGAGAGAGAGAGAAAGAGAGAGAGAAAGGAAGGAAGGAAGGAAGGAAAGAGAGAGAGAGAGGAAGGAAGGAAGGAAAGAGAGAGAGAGGGGAAGAAAGGAAGGAAAGAGCGAGAGAGAGAGGGGAAGAAAGGAAAGAAAGAGAGAGAGAGAAAGGAAGGAATGAAGGAAGGAAAGAGAGAGAGAGAAAGAGAGAGGAACAAGGAATGAAGGAAAGAGAGAGAGAGAGAAAGGAAGGAATGAAGGAAGGAGAGAGAGGAAGGAAGGAAAGAGAGAGAGAGAGAGGAAGGAAGGAAGAAGGAAAGAGAGAGAGAGAGGAAGGAAGGAAAGAGAGAGAGAGAAAGGAATGAAGGAAGGAAAGAGAGAGAGAGAAAGAGAGAGAGAAAGGAAGGAATGAAGGAAGGAAAGAGAGAGGAAGGAAGGAAAGAGAGAGAGAGGAAGGAAGGAATGAAGGAAGGAAAGAGAGAGAGGAAGGAAGGAAGGAAGGAAGGAAGGAAGGAAGGAAAGAGAGAGAGAGAGAGGAAAGAAAGAAAGATGGAAAGGTTTGTTTTCCTGGGTGGGTGGATGAGGGGCATCATCCTGGAAAACGGGGGGGGGGGAATGAGGGGGCAGGCGGTGCAAGGGGGGAACCATTGAGTTGTCTGATAGTCCCCCAAGTTGATAAAAGGTGTCAGGAAAAGTTTTGCTTGGCTGGCTGGGAGATGCTGCAAATTCCTTTATTTATTTATTTATTTATTTTTAGTTAGTTAGTTAGTTTGTCAAACATGTAGGAGAGAAGTATAAACATGGATATGAACGCAGGAAATGGGTACGAATAAATGGGGGCAGTAGGACAGGGACGGTAGGCACGCTGGTGCGCTTATGCTCACCTCCTTTATGGACCTCTTAGGAATGGGGTGAGGTCAACAGTAGACGGTCTAAAGTTAAAGTTAGGGGGGTTTGGGGAAGTAACCACAGAGTCAGGTAGCCAGCATTGATCACTCTGTTGTTGAAGTCGTGTTTTCTGCAATCAAGTTTGGAGTGGTTTACCTTGAGTTTGTATCTATTGTGTGCTCGTGTATTTACAAAGCAGTGAGGCAATTTGAGAGGCTAATCGTGTTGGGGAGGAGGGTGGATTGGGGTTTAAATCTGGCCCTGTGTTTTGAGCAGGTAAGTGGATCAGCAAGTAGCTCTTCCTCTTTAGTAAGTTGGGAAAAGTGACTGGCATTCAGATCCGGATGTGGGGTATGGATTTGACTAGCTCTTGGGAATGCAATGAACAGAGCTATCTAGGGTGGTTGGAGAGCCTTAAGCAGAGTCTTGGGGCGCCCCCAGGCACTCAACTTGCCTTCCCTGCCAGCAGTTTCTGTCCCATGCAATCCTGTCTTTTTGCATTTCTCTTTCGGTCCTTCAGCTATCCTGGCTGTGTTCATATAGGGCACCTTCATCTGTGTTTAAAATAATCATGGTTTATTCATTGCATCTCATTTCCTGGATTTTTTGCATAAAGGATGCACCCAGAAAACCTAATTTGCAAAATAATACAATAATAATAATAATTATCCGGGAGCCAAACTAAACTCACCTTTGGAATGTTGCATAAATGTAAGCCTGTCGGTTTTCTATTTTCTTTCTTTTTGCACTGATGGGGAAGGGAGGGTTGGACTAGATGGCCTCTTGAGGCTAACATTCCAAAGATCCATTAAGACAGAGAAGAAATATAAGACGTACGAGAGGGACTGGACTTGGGGGAAGTTATGGAGCCTCGGATCCACACAATCTGCGATCCAGTACTTAAGAGCGTTTCCTATATCCTTTTCTCTAGGATGCCAGCTGCCCAATAAAATGAAATTTTGGCATCCTTTCTCTGAACTCCAGATGCCCATGGAGGTTAGGGAATTGCCACAGTTAAATGGCTGTGCCTAAAAACCAGAGGTAAAGCAACCTAAAGGGCCTTTTTCGATTAGAGTTCTCATTCCCTTTCTCTGCTGAGATCTGTAGCTCAGAAACAGCAGTGGGAAAATGTGTGCAAATCTCCAGTTTCTGATTGAACCATTTACTCAACTCAGCATTTGATTTAGAAGATGCCCCTGTTCATCCTTTGCCAGTTGCCTTAGGAAGCCTGGGGGTGGGGTGGGGTGGGGTGGGGAAGATGCATCGATTTAAATTTGCATTTCTGCAAAAAAGAAAAATCTGCGTTGCTATCTTTAAAGGAAGCGGTTCTTCCTGTGTGCTTGAAAGGAATTGCTTTCTAGAAGCAATTCTAGAATGAAGCCTGGTCTAGAATCAGCGGAAAAAGGGAAGATGAGGAGGTCTCTTTTCTATGAAGCCTGATCTGACTTGTGAGAAAGTGAGGGGAGGGATGACCAGGATGATCAATAAGCAGAGAGCTTCTGGCTTAACATGTCGTGGGAACCTGGTTGAACGTAGTTTATTCAGGAACTTTACCCAACTGCAACTTTTAACACAACTCACGGCGCACATTGTACCCGTTTCCTGAATTGTAACTGTTGTCTGGCTGTGCTGATGTTGCAAAAAATAGAACTTATAGAGGAAAAACTCCAAAGAGTTTGTTTCGGTCGCATCGTATTTTTATTTTTTATTTTATATTTAGCACGAGAACTTTATAGAACAGGCAAGTTCTTGTCTTGGCAAATAGTATTCCATTCTTTTCAAAAAGAATTTCCAGTTATCTTTTGTGCTTCTGAATCTGAAGTGACCCTGGACAGAGAGCAAACCATTCCTGTCTTTGACCTTCAGAGTTTAAACGATTCATTTGTGTCTCTTTTATTATTATTATTATTATTATTATTATTATTATTATTATTATTATTATTATTATTGGTTAATCTTTAGTGAGATTCACAGCCTTTGAGGCTGGTTAATAGCTCAGCAGCTCAAGTCCTAACCAAGGACCTAGGAACTGTTAAGGTATCGTCGGAGGATATTATTACTATTATTATTATTATTATTATTATTATTATTATTATTATTATTATTATTTCTGCTGTCTCTCCTCTCGTCCTCTGGTTTTGTTTGTTCTTTCTTTCTTTTCTTTCTTTCTTTCTTTCTTTCTTTCTTTCTTTCTTTCTTTCTTTCTCTTTCTTTCTTTCTTTCGCTTTACAACTCTTGTCTGTTCAAATAGGATCTTGCCTCCTTCTGCCAACAACCTGTTTGCGTTCATTCTGTTAGGGCACTTCTGCCCTGGCACCACGAGCCTTTTTTTTTCTTCTTCTTCTTCTGCTTGCAGGGGCTGTTCCGCACACAGGAAAAAAAAAAAAAGCAGCTTTTCACAAGCCCTTCAGCTGTTCCGCCTTCTCAGAAGAGGAAACGGCCTTTTTAATGCTTTATAAGGATATGATAATGGTACGGTTTAAATCTGCTGATCTGCCTCTGTTGCTCCCCTGCCTGCCTGCCTGCCTCCTGCAAGCAGAGAGGAGAAAAGCAGATATTGAAGCTTCATGCTTAAAAAAGATCTGACATTGCTTGAGAACAGGGAGGAGATCCCAAGAATCTTGAGCTGCGATCGGTAATCCACCGGTAGCTTATTAGAGGAGCTGTGAAGACATGCCATTTAAACTAGCATATCAATCAGTCAGATTAGAGGGACCTTGGAGGTCTTCTAGTCCAACCCTCCCCGGTCAAGCAGGAGATCCTATTTCAGACAAGTGGTTGTTCAGTCTCTTCTTAAAAGCCTCCAGTGATGGAGCACCCACAACTTCTGGTGGCAAGCTGTTCCACCGATTAATTGTCCTCACTGTCAGGAAGTTTCTCCTTAATTCCAGGTTGCTTCTCTCCTTGATTACTTTCCATCCACTGTTGTTGTTGTTTTTTAATCTTGCCTTCAGGTGCTTTGGAAAATAAATTGACCCCCTCTTTTTTGTGGCAGCCCCTCAAATACTGAAATATTGCTGCCATGTCACCCCCTAGGCCCGTGATGGCGAACCTATGGCACACGTGCCACAGGTGGCACGCGGAGCAGTATCTGTGGGCACACGAGCGTTGCCCTAGCTCAGCTCCAGCATGCATTTGTGCACCGGTCACTGATTTTCAGGCCCACTGGAAGTCAGGAAAGGGGCTGTTTCTGGCCTCCGGGAGGTTGGGGAAGGCCGTTTTCGCCCTCCCCAGGCTCCTAGAAAGCTTCTGGAGCCTGGGGAGAGTGAAAAACGGGCCTTCCAGTCCCACCGGAAGTCAGGAAATGGGTCGTTTCTGGCCTCTGAGGAGGGGAGAGAAGGCCGTTTTCGCTCTCCCCAGGCTCCAAGAAAGCCTCTGGAGCCTGGGGAGGGCGAAAAACGGGCCTACCTTGCCAAAAGCAGGGGGAGCCCGGGGGGGGGGGGGAATGCGGGCAGCGGGGGGGGGGCAGGGTGCACTGAATTATGGGTTTGGGAAGTGCACGCGTGACCCCCACACACTCCCCCTGCTTTTGGCACACGACGGCAAAAAGGTTAGCCATCTCTGCCCTAGGCCTTCTTTTCACTAGACTAGACATACCCAATTTGTTCTTCATGTGTTTTAGTCTC